AGGGCTGGCTGGCTTTTGACGTCACCTCAGCCTCCAACCACTGGCTCGTCCACCCCCGCAGCAACATGGGGATACGTCTCTACGTAGAGACAGAAGAAGGTGGGTGCGCCTCTGGGCCCAACACCGATGCTCATTTCTATCAGTGCCATTAGAAAATACTTAAACAGGTCAGGTTATTTTCATTTCCAGCTCCATATCTTCAGCCTTGGACTCATCGAGTGTAGCTTTGCATGAGTCAGTTCAAAATAATCCTTATTTATCTTATACTGGGCTTGGTGAGTAGGGAGTATTTTGACCATATCACAGTTTTTATGTATATTTTCCAACTCCAAGCTGTAAAAACTTGAACGCTTATTGGACTTAAGCAGATCAGGTGATGTGTATTTATATAATGAGGGAGGGTGTGGCCTCAGGAGGTCAACACCCTGTATCAAGGTCTCCATAATTATTAGGCAACCTTTTTACCTTTATATGTTTTATATAACGAGACACTTTTCTTTCAGACCGCTCCTTGGCTGGAGGGTGGATTGGGTTGGTGGGTCGGAGGGGCCCTCGCTCCAAGCAGCCTTTCATGGTCACCTTCTTCAGGGAGAACCAGGTCCCGTGTCGGCCGCCGCGAGCCGTTAAACCTCATCCCCGCAGGAAGAAACCCAAATACGACCTCCCAGTCCCCAACTTCAAAGGTCAGGCTCCAGCCAATCACACTCTGGGATTACAGGCCTTACTGATGACCGTGTCGAAACCTTTAACTTGTTGTTTTATCGTGCAAATAATTTTCACCTTTTTTTCTGTTGTTCCTTCAGAACGTAATTCTGAAAACAGAGGTCAGCCCTGTAAAAAGCACGAACTCTACGTCAGCTTCAGCGATCTGGGCTGGAAGGTCAGTCCAGTACTCGTTATGTTAATCATCTTTTTACTAGTGACCTATAAAAGTTAAATCATCTTTGATATAACGTCTTATCTGTCGCTCTCATACGTGACATTTCTTTATAGATTAGATAAAACTTGTAGCTTCTGTATCATAAACTATAATTGTGTCTTTGTGCTCAGGACTGGGTTTTGGCTCCTACTGGATACTCGGCGTACTACTGTGATGGAGAGTGCTTTTATCCTCTGGGCGCCTGCATGAACGCCACCAACCACGCCCTCATCCAGCAAGTGGTCAGTACACACGAGTCAATCACATCCTGACCTCGGTCATATCAGAATAAAGATACAGATAAAATAAACACCGTGAAGCTTGTTACCTTTCCCCGCGGGCCCCTCGTGTAGTAATCTCAGTCAATTTGTTGCTCCTGTTGGCTTGATGTGTGTCATGGTGATGTGTGTACGCACTACTCGACCAACAAAAACAACATTGTGCATTTTTAACACGTTTCCAAAGAATGAGGTCAGCTGACCACCTGAGTATAATGAGCAACCATGTTTATTCCATCAGTGGATTTTTGCTTCCCTGACGGACTCATTGAGGAACATTTCAAACACATACTGGCCATCACAGAGCCAGACCTTAACCCCACTGAGGCGATCGATGGTTCAGTCCCAGCTCCTGCATCCGAATGTGCCACAGGGTAAACTCCTGAACACTACTGAGTACCGCTGATGCATCCATCTGGGTTTGCGCAGGTGTGGATTTGTGGCCTCTACTTTTGAGCCTATGATATATTATCATTGCGCCTCTGCAGTCTCTTACTGCATTCACTGCATTCTTTTAGAGCTGAACTACTTTTTCAAGTCATTCTTTTTTATGTGGGATTTCACAGATCTGAAGTGTTTTTATTTTAACAAACATTGCAGAAACTTTACAGAAAGATCTGCACTTGTAGCTGATGGTTTGTGAATTTACACACTGTAATAAATGTGGTGAAGGAGGCATGTGGCTGTTTTTCTTTAGTTGTGGGTAATTGCTGCGCTGCAGGAAGGAAAATCACAAATGTTCTGGTCATTAATTACATCCAAATTGTTTTTTATATGATCACTCAGTGTTTGGACAAATTTGGAGTGTATGAAATGGATCTTTTCAGTTAGGAGCATTTCCTTTTATTTTATTAATTTAACTGAAATAACAAAAGAAACACGAACTGATTCAGTAAGAGGACCAGATGTTACAATCCCTGATAATTCATTGCTTCAAATGGAGAAAGGCTTGAGGGATGGGTACCATGAAGAAAGGGCAATATTGTGAGTCTGTATCGCTGCCACACTGACCAGCTTCTCTGGCAGAACAGATCTGGGTCTCAGTTGGACATCTTGGTAAAATAAAAGTCCTTAAAACTTGCCAACAGACTCTAACTCCTGTAAACACCTGATTACAACATACCTAAATATTATAATAGACTTAATTTTTGTCCCTTCTCTGTTACATGTCTAAAACATACTTTAGTATAACAGCATTAACTGTATTTCACTCTGCTCTGGCAGGTTCACATCCTGAAGCCTGACGAGGTCCCCAAAGCGTGCTGCGCCCCCACGAAGCTCAGCCCCATCTCCGTCCTGTTCTACGACGACAACAACAACGTCATCCTCAAAAAGCATCGCAACATGGTGGTCAAGACCTGCGGCTGTCTATGAGTGGCCGAGGCCCCGCTTAGAAGAAAATGTATAAAGGGTGATTTATTTTTCCAGACGCTGCAGAAACATGAACAGTTTGGATGATGATGGACCAACAAATCTCATCCAGCAGGTCTGAATGGTCCCGTTTTTCAGAGTTAAAGTTCGCAGATTTCTCCTTTGTCAGTGTTTCAGCATTTTCCGAGACTCTTTGGCTTCACAAAAACAATCGATTCACGGCGCATGATTACATTGCAGAAATGGCAGAAATGTACACATTGAACATCGCTTAGCTTCTTCAGGGAAGCGTTACGAGCAAATGTTTGGGCATTTCTCTTATTTTGATACATTTTCAAATTGAAAAAAGCTAATCTATCAGCATCAAACCACAAACTTTAGTTTACTACAGAAAGGTTTAAATTCTCATGAAGGCAGATGATTTTAGATGGTAGGAAATCCATCAGTGATGCCTGATTTATTTTTTGTTTTGTTAACTGACAGCACTACTGTTGTTATAAGAAAAATCTATATGAAGAGATTATTCAACTGTATTCAGTTAATATAAAATAAACAGTACATTTATTATCAGTTTGAGATTGAGGCGTGTAAATAATCTAATTTTATTTTTGCAAGTTTTAAGCAAATCCTAGTTATTCCACTAAAGTGAAATGCAAACATGTTGTAACCTGAGTCCAATCTGAAGCCAGCTGCTGTGAAACCAGAGTCTCAACAGGTGTGAAAGTAAACGTGATGATGGGCTTTTTACCAGCGTCTCTATCGTCCTGCCTAAAACCTGGAAATCAGCCTCCTTAAATGCATCTGGAGGACAGCAGAGACGAGCTTTCCACGGAGGAAGTGCCTTCACATTTATGTATAAGCAGTCCTGCACACAGCTGCAATATTCCACC